GTTTATCTGCAATTAGTTACACGAATTCAGATATGGAGCTTTAATAAGTTGTAGTTACGGACAATCTACTTGTAATCTTGAGTTTTAAGTAATATGCATTAATAAACAGTACTTTACGCATAAAATAGTTTTTAAGAGTTTTTATCAAATGTTTTATAATATAGTATAGATTATTATTTTTTTATAATTTAATTTAAGTTTAATAATAAAATAATTTATTTTTGGTTTAATAATATAACATTTTATAAAGATAATAATTAAGTATTATGTTAGAACTGAATGATTATCATAATTATATTTTAGATTTTTTTATATTTAAAATGAGATGTTTATTTTGTCTTTGATTGTGTTTATATGCAGTTAGTTACACGAATTCAGATATGAATGAAATTGGATAGGGATGAACGGGTTTAAGAGTTTTAAGAGTTTTTAAGAGTTTTAACCACATGCTTTATAAGATAGTATAGATATTGATGTTTCTCTTTATCGTTTGAAATTATATTCGATTTTATATTTTTATTTATTAGGATTTTAATTTAAATATTTGATATGTTAGAAGGAATTAAGAGAGAAAAAGAGAAAGCAAAAATATTAAAATCAAATGAGTTTCTAAAAGCTTGTCTTTTGAAAACAAAAAGTCACTTCTTTTTTGGTGGTGGTGTTCTTTTACCTTGCTAAATTAGCTTAACATCGTTAATCGAAAATACTCGTTCTAATGGTCGTTATGGTGTGTCATGATTCAAGACTTGTGTCTCATGTCACGCTAAACTTGAGGCATGCCACAATATTATGCACAGTTTTTGTAACAAGATATTTGTTTTTTTATTTATTTTTCTAATATCTTATTTATTAGTTTTTAATATATACTATAAGAGTACTCGTACAATGCATCGAGACACATCCTGATTTCAGTGTTTCGTTTTATTCCCTTTTTATGTCGATATAATACAGTTTTATGTGGTTTTGAGAAAACGATAATGTTTTAATTATTGAATAAAATATAAATTTAAAAATATTATAAAATCTTAAAAAATATATATCGATATCAGTATCAAATTAATCTTTCTAAAAGTTCTTGTGTTTGGTGTAATTTCCTTAATTCAATTTTTTTTAATTATAATTTAATTTAGGTTTAATAATATAATTTTTGTAAAGATAATAATTAAGTATTCTGTTAGAATTTAATGATTATCCTAATTATATTTTAGATTTTTTTTATTTAAAATGAGATGTTTATCCTATATTTGATTATGTTTATCTACAGTTAGTTGCAATAATTCAAAGATAGAGCTTTAATAAGTTGTACTTAACCACAATCTACTTGTAATCTTGAATTTTAAGTAATATGCATCAATAAACAGTATTTCATGCATAAAAATAGTTTTTAAAAGTTTTTGTCAAATGCTTTATAATATAGTATAGATAACTTAGAGTAAACTAGAATTTTTGTCCCTGTGGTTTGAGAAAGATTACAATTTTCGTCCTTGTGATTTTGATCCCTACAATTTGTAATTTATTACTATTTTTGTTTCTGAGACTAAATATGTTAAAACTACTCCATTAAGATATTTTTATCTTTTTTTTTTTTTTTTTGGTTTATTAAATATACTTTTTTTTGGCATTTTTGTCTTTTTGATTTAGTAAAGCTATATATTTTTTGATAAAAAAAGTTAATAGATAAAAATTATATTATTTTGTTATTATTTATCGATAAAATAATTAAAATATTTTTAATACAACTGGTTTTTTTTTAGTCATTATAGTTTTAGCTTTTTATGAGCTAAATTAAGGATTTTTAATAGATTTAGTCTTGGGACGAAAACATAAATAATTATAAACCATGGGGACGAAAATAATAACAATTTACAAACCACAGGGACTATCGTCGTTTACGATAGCGTATGGACCGGTTTGTGCATACTTCGACTAATTTCATAGGACCATAGAAATCTGTTGTGGTTTTCGAGGGACCGAAACTTACGACCTCTAGGGATGAGCCTCAAAGATGCAAGCCTGTAAGTTATGAGAAGACGCTTCAGACGTGTAGCTCAGTTGTCAAAGGGGTGACGCGACTTTGCGCAAATACAAAACAGGTCATGGATTCAATCTCCCCCCACCTTCCAGGCTAGCCTCAGCCACTAATTACTTTCAAAATTATTCGTCTCAAAAGTTATATATATTTTCAAAGCGAGCGATTAGAATTTCTAAGTTGTTTCAAAATTATATGTTTAAACCACAAGGGTGGTGCCTGATTGGTTTGAGCTTGGCTCCAAAGGTCAAAAGTATCAGGAGGTCATATGTTCAAGTTCAAAGAGAAATAAAAATCCCCTTGTGGCCACGGAGGTTCAAATACGGTAACTCCGGGCTATCTGCATGTGGTCGCCCTGGGATTAGTCAGCTCGCATAGCGGGTCGGATATCCATGTTAATAAAAAAAATTATATGTTTATGTTTTGAGCATTGAAAGAACGTTCCAATTATTTCAAAAACAATACGTTTTTTGAAGTTATATATGTTTATGTTTTTAGCAATAAGTTGAAATGAGTCGAATAGCAAGTTGTTCAAGCTCTACTCGAGAAAACAATATCATGCTTGAGCTCGAGCACAAACGTTTCTTCAATGTTCACGTTCAAGCTCGATTATCATTTAACCATGTTGAGTTACACTCTATAACTTCAATTAAAACTTTATAAACTCGTTTACAGACTAAAATTCGAGATCGATTAACTTGTTCGTTGGCTCG